GAACTTCACGTTTTCTTTCATTTTTTTCGGAAATTTACATAAACAAAAAAGTATAAGCTTTCTATTCTACATATGTGTACCAAGTTTCAAAATGCTCCGCCCATAAATAAAAAATTTTCTTTTGGTGTAGAGTAGACACTCCCCTCAATCAATCGTTTACCAATACCCTACCATATTTGAAGAACATACGCCAAGCCATCGCCAACATACCTGTCTATATGCTTCAGCGAGTTGAACGGAACAAAAATCGACCAACTGAATGCATTGACAATTGGGCAGTCATATATCTGATGTCATATTTAACACTAAGTTCTATAAAAATTCAGGTAATGTCTTTTCAATAACATAGTAGGATTTGATTAGGCCATGACCTGCCTGTTGCATATTCGAGAATTAAACGAATTTTTTGATTCGCTGAGGCTCGAAACTACAATTCATTAACATAACATAGCGGTGTCGGCGCTGATGAGTAGACCTGATGTGGCCTGTCGCCGATTCTTATACTTTTCGGCACTTGTTCACAGAAGATCCAGAAGCATGTCTTTGACCGGAATTTTTCAAGAAAGACGATAGTTTGAAATAGCTACTAGACTTCCACCGGGTTCGATATGGTGCTAGGCATTTCAAGCCTGAACATATATTTTTCCATAGCTTTATCTAGTCTGTTCTTGGAAGCGTTTATACTCGGAGCGTCAACGATGTAATCGAGGAGGCTGTTCCACATGTTTGTGATTCGAATCGAGAAGAAATGTTGTCGCGTGGATGAGTTGCAACTCATTTTTTTAGTTTATAGTTGTTGCCCCTGGTGTTGGTTCTTGTTTCAAATTCTAGTAATCCTTCTGGGACCTTGTATAAACCATGAGTATACTTGTATACTTCAATGAGGTCCCCATGCACGCAGAAGTCGGTAACAGAGGCTTAAAAGCTTTATAATCTTTAATTTTCTTCATATAGGACTTGCTCTTCAAGCCTTCTTGCATGTTTCTGAACAATCTATTAAATTTTTGTCCTTTTCAAGCCTCGGTGACCACACTGTTGCGGAAGAGGGGGCAACACATATAGGCTACCCCAACGGGATAGTGAGAAAGCATGGTAACTATATACGCACAGTCACCGAAATTCTATTTGAAAATGTACTAAGAATGAAGTGCACGTACATTATTTAATAACAAACGATATAAATGAACAAGCCAATTTAAAAGTTATAAGAAGTATATTAGTAATCCTAGGTAGCTATCAAGACTGCAAATTCAAAGTTAAACATTGAAGAACACTACATTTGGCTGGGCCCATCCGTAAGTCACCGGTGTTATCGCCGAGAAAAAATCAAAGTTTAGCGAAGATCGCCTAAGTCAAATCAATTCAAAGCGTGGGAATCTAACGGAGGAGCGCAGTGCTTGCCGAGATTACGCCGGGACTCTTTTCCAACGTTGCGAACAAGTTGCAGCTTCCTTCAACACCGTTCACCGAGTGAGAAGACAGATGTTCGAATCAAGGGCCAAGTCCATGCGACGTACAGCGCCGGAAGCGTTACCGTCTTCAAGACTGATACTCTAATTTCGACTGCCTGCAGCCGCACCCGTCCATGGCCAACGAAAGAAGTATTCAAAACACAAGAACTTGGGTTTAGAATGAATGGTTGACAGCAGCATCGTAGGTAGATCCAAGGTAATTCCTTGCCAGGCAACCAACCAATTACTGCGTCCGGCCACGCCCGTCCATGCACCCGGCTCTATCGAAAGTGAACCAACCAACCAACGATCATGTTCAATTTCAGCTCCGAGCAATGCGTCCGAAAGAGAGAAGAAGAGCGCGAACGAGTCAGTAAGTCGGGCCGCTACAACAAGGCGTTTCCAAGCTCTAGGTTCGGGCGCACGACAGTAACAAACAACCGCTTCATTGCTTCTGCATCTAGGAACTCGTAAGAACGTCTAATCAATCCTAGTAGTTTGTTGGATTTATTAGCTCGCATTTCAACATGCTTTAAAAATTCCAGCTCCTTGTCGACATAAACTCCCAAATCTTTTTCCACACTAGACTTTTCAATCATTACTCTCTCATTATAACCATATCTTCTCATACTGTAATCTTGCTGTTCATTGTTCTTTCCGAGGTGAAGTACTTTAACACTTGCCAGCGTTCAAACGCAGCTGCCACTTATCAGCACAGTCAACTAAACTATCGAGATCATCTTACAATTGCGTTTATTTGTCGCATCCTTCACTGTATTATAAACTTTTGTATGTATCGTCGGCACACATGGAGCACACGCTTGACACTACTAAGTTAATAAAGCCAATAAACGACTTGGACTGATCAGACGCTCTTTCGAGTTCCGAGATGCAGAAGCGATGAAGCAGTGTTTGTTGCTGTCGTGCGCCCGAACCCAGAGTTTGGAAACGTCGTGTGGTCACCGAAATTTTAAATTAAAAGAACAAAAATTTAATAGATAGTGTTCAAAGACGCGCAACAAAGATAGTTCCGGGCTTGAAAGGCAAGTCCTATGAGGAAAGATTAAAGATTATGAAGCTTCCAAGCCTCAGTTATCGACGTCTGCGTGGGGAACTCATTGAAGCATACAAGTATACTCATGGCTTATGCAAGGTCCCAGAAGGATTACTTCTGTGCATCTACGTACGTTGGAATGACGTCGCGTAACTTCTACATCCGGGTTTCTGAACACCGTGGCAGGAGCTATCGTTCTAACTTGCCTCTCGCCAAGCCTCCTCATTCTTCCGTGCGCCTCCATGCTGAACAGTGCGACGTGGCTGTATCTGAGAGTGATTTCAGGATACTCGGTTCCTCTTCTGGCTGCTCGGATTTGAGAATATTGGAGTCTCTACATATCTTCAAACGAAAACCGTGTCTCTATAATGCGTTTAGTTCATATAATCTGGAAATAGTGAATCGCTAGGCTTTTATATTCTTTTCGTGAACCCTAGGACTAAGGTGTTCCAATCGAGTCCTGTTTTTTCGATATAATGTTAGGTCTTGTTTAGGTTTTATGTCTGTCTTAGAATTTTGATATAATAATATGATTTTATTTATTTTTAGTTTTTCGAACCGATGATGGAGCTGGACTCCGAAACGTTTTCAATATCGATATGGTGAATTTGCTTGGTGTTTTCTTTGCTTTTAAATTCCTTGTGAACTTGCGATATAAGCAGACTGATAATATAAGTACTAAACTGAAAGGTCTTAAGGGACTCTAAAACATAACTAAAATATCAGTTTTGAAAGTGCAATTATCCATGGTTATCACGATGCAACTATCAAGCTTTTCATTGATGCCCATTTTCTCCCAAATATTTCATTGCATTTTCGAACGTAATTCATAAATATTTTAGAGCTATCAATAAAAAACCATGAACAATTATTATTCATGCACATTTGAGTGCTGACAACTGTAGGATAGAATAGAATAGAAGTGTCGGCATTGAAGAAATAGGCCCATGGTTTGATGCCGATTCTAGAAGTTTTCGTGACTTGATTCACAAGGGATCCGGCCTTTGGAACCCGATCTTTCCATAACTGACGATTGATTGAGATAGCTGCTGGACTTATTGCCTGGTCCGTAATTTGCTAGGCATTTTAAGACTGAACATATGCTCCTGCATTGGCTAGCATAGCTTCGTCTAGTCTGTTTTTGAAGGCGTTCATACTCGGAGCGTGAACGATGCTATCAGGGAGGCTGTTCCACATGTCGGTGACTCGAAGCGAGAAGAAATGTTGTCGCATGGATGTGTTACAACGCAGTTTTTTCAGTTATAGGCGTGGCCCCTGGTGTTGGTTCTTGTTTCAAATTCTATTAATTTACTGTAATCTTGCTGTTCATTATTCTTGCCAATGTTGATAATTTTACATTTGTCAGCGTTAAAACGCAGCTGCCACTCATCAGCCCAGTCAACCAACCTGTCAAGATCACCTTGCAACTGTACTTTTTGCGACGTATTCTTCACTGTAATATAAATTTTTGTGGCGTCAGCATACATCGAACAAATGCTAGACACAGCTACTGGCAGATCGTTTATAAACGCAACGGATAGAAAAGGCCCGAAAACGCTTCCTTGTGGCACGCCGCTGCGCACTGAAGCCAAGTCTGATACGGACTTAATACTGACACGCTGTCGCCTCCCTACTAAAAAATCTCTTATCCATTCGAGTACATTACTCTCAATTCCTTAAGACTTCAATTTACGCAACAGCCGCTCATGTGGGATACGGTCAAATGCCTTGGCAAAATCAAGGTACACTGCATCTACTGGCTCCCTTTCGTCCAGCAAGACGAAAGGGAGCATAACGTAGAACCACCCGAGTCTAAAACCGATTTGGTCTTCAGTGGCTTATAAGAATCGTCTTTCCAACGCAAGTAAATATGAAATGTTGTCAAACGTATATAAGAGGCTTGAAAATAAACAATTTCCTCTTCTATTTTGATAACATAAAAGTTGAACTACTTTAATGTCCCTCAGGTCTATGGACTTCAATAAAGTCGATCTTTTAAAAAGATTGGACTGTCTGTCGATCCTGAAGGGCTTCGTTCTAATACGTTGTAATCATGCCAGTATTGACGGTTTAACTGAAAATCGGCGTGACTGCACTACCAGTCGAGTGCTTAATTCATGGGTTAGACGGTACAGGCTTTCATCCATCTCTTCTTCTAACGCTTTACTTTGATAAGGAATACACGGAACCGTAATAAAAGTTGTTTCAACATTAATAATTCGGCTCACCTGCCGCTGATATTTTACAGAACATAACTAGAAATATTTTCTTTTAGCAGATTTATCTTCTAGTACGAAAATCACATTTGCACGTGTAACCCTTGAAGCTGCGTTCTAAGTTAGCGTAGTGTATCAAATCAGCAGTGCAATCGAAGACTGAATTTGTAAGCTACTTCGTTCGTTGACTGTCCAGAAACCATGAATTAGACATAATCTTACTTGAATTAACTCATGAACAATAAAAATGAATTTAGGATGCTAGATGAGCAAAAATAATTTATGGAAACAGTTTATTATAAAATTTAGAACATTCCATAACCTTAAGACTAAAAACACTAAATGATAATGCAACATTACTCTCTAAGACCAGAATTGAGAAGTCAAGTCAGCAACCCGGCAAGTTTCCAGGCAAAATATAAGGGCTTAACTCAAGCGGTAAGATACCTACATAAATCTAAGTTGAAAAAAAAATAACGGTGGTATATTCTACAATTGCTGCAATTTTCAAGAGCTATCATCAGAAGAATAAACGGTCTTTTTGAACCATACACCGTCATCAAAACACAAAGACATTTGAGACTGTAACTCAGCAAGGTATCTTATTTCACAAGGTGGTCGCGAGCTAGCGTATTCCAGCGTGGTGGGAGAGTCCACGAAAAACGTTCTTCTTGGCGTACTGAAGCGGCGCCTGGATCTTGTCTTCTTCAAAATAGACTTGTATGGTAAATCCAGCCTGATTTTCTTCGCTGGAATGACCTCCTCATCTAGAACATGATTCGATGTCCTCTTGCCAGTATCGCCGCTAAATGAAGGGAAATTGCTATCACCATTCGCGTGATCTGAAAGCACAGAACATCATTAGTTACCTACAAATTTAACGAGCAGATTTCGATCAATACGTCAAAAAAATTTGCGATCGTTAGAAGTACCTGACAAAAGAACGGGCTTTATGTTTCCAAGTACTTTTAATCAATGTTGTTGGCACCACGGTAGTGAATCCTGAGTAGTTTGACTCGGATTTAATTATCTAAATTAACGTAGCTTGTCCACTACAAATCTGCTCATTAAGCAGCACAAGAATGTCAGCTTACTTTTTCTGTTCATAATCATTCAGATCTTTATGGATAGGAAAATTTAGGCCCAATCGAACAATTCACTGAATACTGCGCAATTGCTCAAAATACAGGTCATAGCAGATAATTATTTCAACTGAGAGCATCAAGTATTCTTAGAAGTGGATTTTTAACAAAGAGAGGATCAAATGTCAGTCGGACGAGTTACCAGTTAAATATAATACTTTAAAACACAGAGCGTCAGCTAAATGCAAGAACTAAAATGAATCCGAATTGAGACTCCCGTGAAAAAGCTCCAGTTCAGGTGCCGCCAATCATTTCATAAGGTTGAAGAGCCCTTGATGTACACGCGTCATCAAACGCTTCCAATTACCTGAGCGTTCACTACAACCGGAGCGAGCTCGACGCCTTCTGCGACAAGCCTTCGGTGATATGCGTCGTCTAGGGCATGAACATAAGAGAAAAAAGCGCATGTGGGATAAATAACACCTATGCTTAATACTAAAGAATACCACATGGCAATGAGATGATCATACTGCATAAAATATTGCCAGTTAGAGTATATATAACCAGTGGTAGGAATGACCCCTGTCATTTAAATTTTCCACTAGCACTCAAGACAAGATGTTTGATAAGGACAAGCAATAACTTGCAAGGCTCCAATCCGGAACAATATAACACATTGGACTTCATGGGCCTTAAACATCATTTTAGAAATGAAAAACGAGTGCATGTTTTCAGTTCACATTAGTAATGAGTATAATAATGTTGGTTAAGCTGTCTTGAAGCGGCTGGAACGTGCAGGTCGGCAACGACGATCATGTTGACGTTTCTCCCCTTGTTTGGCGGCGAGCAGCGCACTCCCTCAGCCAAACGCAGTTTGTGGCTCTCGTTCTACGGCAGATAAATCACCACAGAATACACATGAGCTCGCGACAACCACAAAAGTCTTTCTTATACTCAATTACCCGTAACACGCACCATTTGAACCGGTTGTTTCTTAAGCTCAATCCAAGAGATGCAGAGTAGTATCTGCTGCAATTGTGACATTCATCATATAGCTGATGAGCATACAATTTGTTTTCAAATTAATTTTGTATCAACAACATCATGTTCTAAACTTGGAAGTTGGACTGATGTTTTATCTTTCTGTTTGCAAGTACATGTAATGATTAATTAAGTGCAGGGCATTTGGATGTAGGTGTCCGGCGCTGCTTTGATGAGTATATGTATACTTACGATCGACAGCAGTCACTGATGAACATCGGGACTAACATACTTCCTGATGCACCATCACAGCACACCATCTTCCCGTACATCACGTAAACGACAAATTTCAACAAGGAAATAACCGAACAGAAGTACGCAAAACCATTGTAGAACAAAATGAAAGGAATGATAGATTCATACTGCATCACTTGCAACAAATAAAACAGCAGTAATGCAGAAGTGTGGTAACATTTAAAAATTGTACTTGCAGTAGGTGACATTCATTGATCTTCACTCACCATGAACTATCAAATGCATTAATAACCATCAAACGGTTTTTTAGACTAGCAGCCAGATTAGACGCCAGATATAGATCACAACCACACTACTTACTGCCAGAAGGATCGTTAGCCTTGGCACCACAATATTGAACGAATAACAATAGTACCGAGGAACGAATAACAATAGTAGTCTAGACGTAAGTCAGTCTCATTCATTTGCATTCTATAAAGCAACAACAAAATAGGAACAATTTTTTTCAATTCTTGGACTAACTTTACCTAGACAAACGTAGTGAAAAATTGTAGTGGAAGAATAGACACAACAAATCCTCTGACATATACACATATTTACACAAAAACACACACCTCAGAAAACTTACTGGATTCCACCTTCTTGACTTCTTGGTTGTAATCCATGTGTCGAGTGAAAATAGTAAAGATAATGAAGAACATAACTGAATTACTAAGCTCACCATCAGTTTAAGCACTATAATTAATTATAATGAAGGCTCCACTATAATAAGATTCCCATGAGAGCATTATGGACTTACTGTTGGAAAATATGGCATCTGAGCTTGATTCTGAATCACTGTTAAAACCCAACAACTGCATAAGGTCTGGAAAAGGAGACATTTGGGGCTGCTCTGCCTGACCCAAGGATGGATGATGTATAGGAGGCACCCTCATGTCCCTGGCATCTGCAGCTTCTCTCTGTCTCTCAGGTAAGCAGGATTCTTCCTCTGATACCTGTTGAAGGTAGAATGTCATTAGGCACCAACGTAAATCATAACTTAAGTACTCAGCCTCATCAATAAGTAGGCAGGAACAATATCCAGATAAAAGTTTAAATAACTAGCCAACAATAAATTATAGGACTAAATATTTTATCTAAGGAAAAATTTATATTTCTAGCAGCTATTCCTAACAAACAGTGCATGAGCTGTGGTTGTGCGGTGGTGAGTGACGCTGTCTCTCGCACTCAGCTCCCGGGTTCGAGTCCCACTGTGGACAAGTTCTTCCGGGAAGCTCAGCTCATGGTCATCTCAGCCATTCATCCAACTCTGGTTGATAAATGAGTGCCTGGCTTGTCCATGGTGTTGTGTAATGCAATCAAACGGTTCTGGTGGGTCAGCAAGCCAGTGATGGTTGTAGAACTACCAGTGGGACCAAGTGCCCGGAAAAACTGACCTATCACCCCCTCCCTAGTTGCCACTACCAGGATGGGCAATTAAAACAACAACAAACAGTGCTGCTTATAAAGAAAAGCCTTGCTTCAGGTGACAATAGATTAATGAAATTTTCAAGTCATGCTAAAAAAGCATCAGAACTCAGCATAGGGATTTCATCCTCTAAGGCTAATGAAGCAAATTAGGCCAGATGTAGAAAAATCAGTTCGCCTAACTGTCCCACATTAAAAAGTAGATGAGCATATTTGCCAAAATTTCACTTTCAGGTAAGGCTCACAAATACTTGTGAAAATAATTCATAACAATTTATTTTGAAACAAACTGAGCAATATTCAACATTCATACCTGACTACGATCCTATACCTCATAATACCTGTGCATTTCATCAGCCATCAGTAAGGGGTATGGACCAAGAGATGATATGCCTTTAGTCAGGAACAACATGAGAATGCAGCAGTGAAAATTTTTTTAAAATTGATCCAGAAACGTTTTAAATGCCTTTTTTTCATCATTTGTTGTGTTCTATTGCAACCAACTGAAAAAATATATGAAATATTTAGCAGTAAATTATTAATTGTATCAAAAGATGTAACTTTGGAGCCATGAGATTTTAGAACTAAATTCAACTATTTTATGCCTACTGATAGTTTTTCAACCATTTTAGGATTTCAGATAAGTTAAAAATATCCCATGTTTGCCAATCATGCCAGGCCAGAGATGCTGTCTTCAAACCATGCGTTGATTACTTGTAGGTAACAGAAAAATATAATTGCCAACTAGACCTGAAAATAAAATGTCTCAACCCTGCTGGTAGTACCAAGTTGATAAAATCCAAAATTGAAAAACTGCTGGCTTTTTGGAACTTTTACTGCTCTCATATTGTGCAATATTTAAACCTAGAAAGCTGCAGCACTAAAACACATAGGCACGCTGAAATTTTTAATATTGATTGTCTTTGCTGGTCATCAATAGAACAAATCTGATTTAAAAACAAAACTGGATTGTAACTTTAAAGCAAAATCCAAACAGCTTTATAGTTATTATGTGGTAATTGAACCCTACAAATTGTTGGTATGAACTGTATTGAAGTTTTTATTGGTAGGCTGCAAGTTATGTGCATTATCTGCTGAGCAGGAACTTGCAGGACAGTGACAGCAAAATTTAATGAACCATATCCCATGTGGTGTATTAAACAATTCAATTCTACAGCTGCAGGCAGTAAAAATGAGCATGATAGGAACAAGGTAAAATTGTCATCTGTAGAAAACTTGTTTTTCATATTTTGCAAATGTTAAACATTGTGCTATATTAGTCAACCATTATAAAATCGATTCTTTTTTAGGTACAAAGATGCTCCCTATGCATATGCGAGTGTTGCTAGTTTATAAATATAATTGTGCACAATGTGCATCTGCGTACATCGGGATGACATCTTGCAATCTTTATTTTAGCGTTGCAGAACATAGGGGCAGGAGTTGCAGAACTGGTAACTTACAGTCACGCCCGCCTCATTCGGCTGTGAGTCTGTGCGGGCTAACGCTGAGCAATGTGATATTCCGGTTTCTGACAGTGACTTCAACGTTTTAGCTTCCAGTTCTGGTGTTTCTGATTTGCACACTTCAGAATCATTGTATATTTCTAAACAGAGGCCTAGTTTAAATTTAGCTTTTAGCTCTAACCTGCTTGAAATTACAAATAGGTAGGTTTTACAGCTTAGGTTTATTGTTGTATTCTTGAGTGTACTAATTACTGATTTATCTGTGTTCTAGAATTTTTTGAACTGAAGATGGAGCTGGACTCCAAAACATTTTCATGAAGATGCTATGAATTTTTGTGGAGTTTTCATTGCTTCTAAGTTTTTAGTTAATTTTCAGAATTCCATTTTGGCAGATGGAATTCTAAGAATGAAAGTTCACTTTTAAAAACACTTTCCACCCTAGGTGGAAAGCTTTCCTTAGTGTTCCTCCAGGCAATGGACTATAAAGGAAAAGTAGGATCAAAAGTGGACAAACTTTCAATTGTATTGTACCTCAGATTTGTTATAGAATTTTTTAGTTATCTCTTGTTTGATTGATATTTTTATTTATTTTTATTTTCTTTTATTTAAAGGATAAATTGGAAATTTTCCAGGCTCTTTGTTAGTAAAGAATAATGATTAAGCTTAATTCAAGTACTAAGTCAAATTAGATTAAGTAGGCTATAAAGTTAAACAGTACTTCATAGTACATTAATAGATATAGGGTAAATGCAGTACATTCCAACACATTAAGGACATAGCAAGAAATGAATAGCTATAAAAATACCACCGCATGCGCAACTCGAGTTCTGACTGCTTTACGTCACTCAAAACACCACACTACACGCCAGCCGCCAGCAACAATGAAACATCACAAACTGTTGCCATATTTATTTAAAAGCCTTTAGAATTCAAACCTACAAAATCCCTGAATTCTGATGCTGTGTGACTAAATTCGGCATATTGTGAGACTAATTCCGGCAGCGCTTCAAACTATTAATTTGCAATTCCGGTGCCCTGTGTTGGAATTCCGACTCCCTGTGTGAGCTGTATTGGAATACAACACAGCTCGGAACGAGCTTAACTAAAAAATTTAAATTTTTTAATTACGCTTTAAATTTTTTAATTAAGCTTTCAACTAAGAGCTATTAAGCTTTTAATTAAGAAAATTTTAATTTTTGGACACAGCTCAGAACAAGCTGTGTGCATCTAATTCCAAGCTTTGTCAGAATTAGTTTTCATGTGTCTACAACCGACGTTTAGCTTAAGGGGACCGCCCTAGCATACAAAAACTTCTACAGTTATTATCCGATTGTCATGAAACTTCACATACATACGTAAAATGTTAAAAAAAACATTTTGCTCCTATGAATTTTTTGAAAAAATTGATAGAAAACGTGGAATTCATAGAAAACGGCTAAAAGAAACGGCTACTTTAGAAAATCTATCTCCTCCCACAAATATCATCCTACAACATCGAGACACGTATCAATCGATTCGTAAAGACCATACCTATGGTGCAATATAATTAATAGGTATATCCGTATATAATTGAGAAATTCAGAATTATTAGAGTAATCTTACGTTCTTACCTTTAACAGATGATCACCAAAGCAAAAACCCATGACTATAACTTTATATTGAGACCTGAGTCGGTAACTTTTTAGCCACCTCAGCTCCAACACTAGGAAGTAAATTCACTCTCAGAGTCTCAGTAATGAAAAAAACTTGCGTTAAAAAGCTCCTTTGGCTTCGAATGAAGTATAAAGGAAAGAATCTTATTTAAAATATTATTATAACCTATACTGCGTAATGTTTTATAAGCATATACAATAGGACTTTGAAACTAGTTAGTAAATAAGAAGAGTGGCGGACGTTCTTTGCTGATGGTAGCTCACCAATATGGCTGCCGGATGAAATGTATTGATGAAAGCGACGAGAATAGGGGTCAAAACAATTGACGACTAAAATGCGCAAAGCAATTTAAAACTACAAAATAATTAGGTTAATATCTCTTCAGAGTATATTTGACCATAAATAATAACTCTTCTTTAAAAGTATGTATACAGTAATTAAGAAGTCTGCTTAGGTTATTCAATTGATGATAACTTACAATAATTGCCTTTTACTAAGTCTTGCATAAATTCCAGTCAAACTTATTCATTACATAGCAAATTTTTTCCGATAACAACATATAAAAAATCCCCATTCGCTGTGTTTCCCCATAAGTACTCTGATCATTTCTATCCTAGAATTACTTCTATTCATCGTCACTTCTGTACAGCCTTTTTCTCATGATTATCCATGAAACATTTATCAGCCTGCTGCAGTGCAAGCGATTTTTTAAAGATATATATAGGTCACCGGCTCATGCAAAATTTAAAAAACTTTCATCATTACAGAGAATAAAGCAGTATTTTTCAGGTAAATCATAGCCATTTCCGATGAGACCTCACTTATAGCCTTATAAGAACTCGACCTATCTCTTATATCAAATTATTATTTTCAGAAAGCCATTGCCTGTATTTTTTCGATGTTATTTTATAATGAAAGCCTAAGTAAATTAAATTTTGTGTGTGCAGAAATAAAATGTTTTGTTACTGATTGGTTGCTTTACTAGCTTGACATAAATAGTATGACCCCACGGATCTAGATCGATGAACATCACCCTAGTCAGCTCGCTCTCACTGGGTCAGTTCTTCGTTTCCGCTCAGTTCGTTACGACCGAAACTAAAGCCCACTACTCCATACTATAACTTCTGAAAAGCAAGTTGTTTCTAATTGTTCTATGTGAAAAATAAAGGGTGATATTTAATCAAAATTTAAAACTATGCTGAATAACAAGCACTACGATATTATTATTTAATCGCGCTTGAGGTATAGTCTAATGCACTGCGGAAAATTAACCTTGACTAGAACTCACGGATCGATGAATCTTCATGCAATTTGAAACCAAAAGGAATATATACTTCGATAAAAATATGGCCTCAGTCTACGTTTTGTTGGTCGCCTAAAATGTTCTATCAATTACGTAGTTTAGTAAAATCTAGCGATCTGACGAATGTTTTTACTCCTTACACAACTTTTCTCGGTAATAAGTGCACTGAACAGCTCATTATAAATATAAAACTGCACTTCCGCTAAAACATCTGTGGCTTAGAATTTGAAATCAGCGCTATATAGAGCAGAGATGGAGTGACGACCCAATCGGCAATATTTTTTTATATTTTTCTTTTAGCCCCAGAAATATCTGGCCTGTTAGCAAGTTGTGTCAGCCGTTTAAATTATAGAGACGACGTGCCACCAATGTTTTGGTGCCACCAATACATTAACAAGAGGTAGCGTAGACGAGTGACTGAATTAATAATGACTTATGGACGACGCTGTGGCTGCTGGACGTTGAGCGAGCTGGAAGCAGAGAGGAGTCGGCATAGAACAACGCTCGAACAGAACACTCGCCTCACTTCCGAAATTCAGGTCTATTACTCTGATAGCAAAAATGTTTACTAATAAAATTAACATTTGAATGCTGAATGTTGAACGAATACCTATTGAAAAATTTTTGTAGTGGAGTAAGTAAATTTTCACGATATTTTCAGGCAGCTTTTAACGTTGAAAGTATACCTATGTAACTTCGAGTGAGAAATATAACTATGGTCACATATACCAAGAAATCCATGCTATTTATGAAAAACTATATAATAAATCAGTTGTATTTCCTGCGTTAATTGTCGATTTAGAAATAGCGTGAGCGAACAATTAGATCCAGACCGATTTCTGTAAGCTGTAGATAAATAAATGTTTCAGAACCGTAAGGAGTCTGACCCAAAAATTGGCTTCCATATCATTATTTTAAATTAAGTTATTCATTCAAAATTATTTTCACATTTGACCATAATTAAGTCATATAATAAGGTGGTTTAAGTGTGTACACTTACATTTCTGTACGACAGACTCTGCGAGACGAGCTGCTGCTGGTGCATGACAGCGTGACGCAGCTGGAGCGCCGGTATGCGGACCTGTCGGGACGCTACAGGGAGGCGAGGGAGCAGCTTAATCAGGTGATCAGTGCTTGTTAGTTCGACTATATAATGTGACCGAATGTCAACACTGGTTCAAGAAGTATTCAGAGAACCATAGTTTGCTTATTTTTGGATTTGAACGGAAAAAATTAATAAATATAGCATTATCAAAGCCTAATTAGCTTAATACTGAATTTTCAACATCTCTAAATTCGTTTGTGCATCGTTAATTAAAGAGTATCAAATCGATGGCAGGCCTCATTATAATACACTCAAGAATTTATTATATTAATAAATAATGCATCATGCAATTAACAAAGAATTACATTATTGCCCGAGCACATAGGCGACCAGCTCGACCAATGAACTGAGAGGGCAGTCTGATGAAGCCGCGGAGGATAACCGCAGGCTGAGAGCCATCTGCCGGCAGCTGGAAGACCAGGTAATACAAATAAAGTTAGGAACCTGAGGCTGAGACATAGAATATTTCACTCAGTATATAATTTTTATGGTGATCTATTCTATTGTCTTACCTAACTCCGCATGCTCACAATCATACTACACTTTTCAACGGTTTTCAAATGACTGCTACTCGGTGCGTGTTTAAATAAGTTCTAAAATAATTGACTCAAACATCTCTTTCATAGGATCCGTAAATGCATTGAACGTGCCGGTAACTGAGTTTAAAATAAGCGGATGTCTATGGGAGTTTAATTAGCTTTACTGCAGGTGGCGCGGCTGCGAGGGGAGGTGGAAGGCGCTACGAAGGCAGCGGAGGAGGAGCGGCTGGTGAGGCTGCGGTGCGAGGAGGACCTCACGCGGGAAGTGGAGGCCGTCGAGCGGTCGTGCAGAGCAGAGCTCAGAAGGGCAGCGTCGACCCACAGCCTCGACCTGCAGCAACTCCAGCAGGTGGGTGCGTCACTGATAATTAAATAAGTTTTCTTCACTTGAAACGAGATGTATCCATCAAGGTTTTTTGGTGATAAGAAGTTTGCTCTAAAATTCCATGCCCTTTTTGTATCGCAGTGTGTTTTATCAAGTATTTAAAAGCAAAGAAAACAGCCAAAAATTCACCATATCTTAAGAATGAAAACATTTCGGAGACCAGCAATAGTCAATATTTTCGCGACCAGGAGGTGGCACGTCTGGACGACGAGCTGCTGAGGGAGCGCGGGCAGCACTCAACCACCAAAAGGAGGCTGCAGCACCTGCACCATCTGCTGGGCGTTCACCACCACCACCACCGCCGACACCTTCACCACCACAGCCCGCTCCTGCCACGCTCTAGGTCTTTGTCGCCCTACCTGTGTGATGACGTGTGTGTTCCTTGATGACGTGTGTGTTCCTTGATGACGTGTGTGTTCCTTGATGACGTGTGTGTTCCTTGATGACGTGTGTGTTCAGCGCATCGCAAAAAATTCTGGGCTGTCTTCATCCAAGGCGTCAATCGTATGAATTCAGTCATTAAATCTTAGCATGGGCGCTTATGTTGGAGCTGATGATGTGCGTTATACTTCAGGCACTTCTGGCTTCAAGAAAAGTATTCTTTCATTTCGTTTTTGGAAAACGTCTTCGCCCTGTTTGCCTATTAAAAGTAAAGTAAGATCCTTTTCATTCTTTTATTATCCTGATGGCAACAACTCCCCACCGGCCAGTTCGTTATTCAATACATTGACAAACGATTAGAATGTCATACCTGGAGGTCACACCCCTCAATCTACTAATTTTTAAAAGTTAAATAAAGATTAATAAATTCTCAGACAAAAAAGAACGGCGGGAATTCTTATTAACGAGAAACTTCAAACATTGACTATTAGGCTGCATTGTCGGTCAATTGCTCAAGAAAGCTCTATCGCTGATATGCAAATCGAGTTACATATATAACGCGCCATATAAGCGTTATATAGGCCGTGCCAACATCAAATTGCCTTGTTGTTAGGCTGGTTTATCTATTTAGTGATTAGACTGAAGACGAGTAATATATGCTTGACCTGCAGCATGTGGTCTGACACGATGATAACGAGCAAGTTATATTCAACCTTGTGAATCTTTCGAATAATTATCGTTTGTCGTATGCCTAGTAATATATATATATATATAAGAGTGGCTCGGAAAGAGTGTCTTTTTTCAGTGGCACTATCGATCACTGTTCGTGGAAATTACTTCATTTTGTTCCGCTGTTCTAGCGTGGCCGTTCGGTGTGTTTCTTGACTCCTGCACTTGATCTTGCCCCAATGTCGCCAAAACTTTCTCTGGCATCAGCGGTTTACAGTCCGGCTGACGTTTAATTTTACTTTCCCAGCCTTCAAATAGTCCACGTAATCATTCAAATCATTCAAGCTATAGGTGTCGGTGTTCCTCAAGATGGCATCTTGCTCTACAATCCACATACTCTTGGGAGTCCTGAGTTTCGTATTATGAAGTTTTGACAGAATTCCAATTCAAATTTTAAGCTGTGACGAAGATACTTAATAGATAACCTTAGGTCAATCAATAAATGCAATTTTTAATATGATTAATATCTCTATTTCTGTTGGCGAGCTTGCAGGTTAATATGCAGTGATGCTCTATATATTGTTAAGCGGTTTACTGTATGTCAGATAATGAGTCTATAGTGGAATTGTACTTTCAAATTCCCGCTAAAATAGAATCGACGTGAAAGCAGCTCCCAATACGGCGGCACATTCACGCGAAGTTCGATTAAACCTATACTGTGTAACATTTACAAGAACCTAAAAGAATAAATTGACCCGTAAATGGGTAGGTAATCTAAGGATGTATTTATTAGATAATAAGTACGAGATAAAGTCTGTTACGTAACTCTTAAAACTATCCACTCATGAAAATGTTGCCAGCTGGGCAAAAAGATTGTCATCCTGCCAAACGAGGCTTGCAGTTGTGGAGCGAACATATATGAGCACCACATATGATTTTATGATAATATTGATGGTGCACTACATGTGAATATGTAGTGAAAACATCGAATATTAACTCATCGCCCACGAAAGTTAGGTGAGAATCCCTGGCACATGTGAACTGATCTTGGCATGTCGGAAGAAGTCTAATGTCGATATAATTCTCACGGAAACTAACTATGCGTCTCTTCGCTAAATTAAACCACAATATTCATAGAACATAATTGCAGTGTTGAAAGAATTTAGCTATGATATGAGCATGAAGTTTTATCGGAGAAGTACAGCCTGTCTCGTATACACAAATCTGCAAAGTCTACTCCTATATGTGAATGGCTTTTATCTCGGCCTGACGATTTCGTTCAGAAAATTATTAGACAACTATGAAGTTCTTCGCGCCCAACAGTACATTACAAGATCTCGACTTTACATTTAAAAACGAAAGCTTGCATCAGGTCTGAATACATTTTCTTAAAATTTATCATCAACTGTTGTGGCTTGCAGGATCCCCCATGATTCGCACACATGAACGTCAAACTACAATATTTTCGCCCTGTTCATTCATAATCCCCATCGTTTAGTTCTCTTCTTCAACTTCTTTGTCACATCGGTTCTCCTTGCCTCTTTATTCACTTCACCCTCCTCTCTGCCCCCACATGTTCTTGCAGCTCCCTCCACCCCCGCAGTCAGAGGGGGGCCAGCGCTGGCCCGAGGACCAAGTTGCTGAACAGTTGCTCGCTCACTTTCAAGGTCAGCGTTGAGTGAGGTGTCAGGGTAGCTCTGCTTTTCAATCCCTTCATCGTTCGCCAGATTCTTAGGTACGGAAATTATAGTTTACCTCTCTAATTATTGAACTTAACCTCGTGCAGCTGGCTTAGAAATGAAACTTATGTGACTGTTTCTAGCACTTAAAAGTCGAAATCTCATATCCCAGAGTTGTGACGATGCAGCGTGCGTAGTGACATCACTGAGTAGGTAGGCTATATAGGTAGAGCAAGTGGTGATCCAACGCTTTCAGTTTCATGTTGCGTATTTCATTACTCTTTGCTACATTATGCCTTTCCCCTTCATACAGTTGCGAAAATGTCTATCCGACCACCCAATTTTTCCGAATATTTTTTCTTGCATAGAAAATACGGGTTTCTAATTATACGAGGCTAAACTGCATTTAAAAACTGTTCCAACGCTATACGTACAATATTTTTTTTATAAATATATGAGAAGAAATGATGAAAATTAGAAAAACCTAGGTGAAAAGGTTTGTAACTATAAGACCATGATCGATAGCGGATACCGTAGGTTTCTCAATTTGTGGATCCCATACACTCGTTTTAATAGGTACTACGTAGGCATAATCTTACCTCCTTTAGCCTTAATTATCTGGATGCATCTTCTGCTATTTACCAAATCATGTTATGATGCAGAGTCTTTTGGTAAATTTTATCTCAGGACCGAAGGATAGCCGATAATAGGTCAAGTAACAGACCTAAACAGATTGGAACTGGCGCCAAAGCCGCCAATTGTGGTAAACATCCATCGCCATGATGCCCCATATGTTTTAAATAGGGTTGAGGTCAGGACTAAGCGCTGCGCTGGCTACCGCAAGTGCAACAGTGTAATATTCAGCTCTTTAAAACCACTTGCTTACTGACTTCGAGGTGTGAACCGAAGCATTGTCTTGCTGGAAGACATATGATCCCTCATGTTTCTCATTGGTCAACAAGGAGATGGTGACATAGCGTGTGCTTGTATGCCTCGGAAACGTGCATAACACGTAAAATAGCTAGAGTTAGTTTTCCCTTTCGGCTAAACGCATCCCAAACCATGACCGAACCAACACCAGATAGCCGCTTGAAAAAGAATTCAGGCTCACGGTCAAGGTAGTGCCTGTAGCATTGCCATCCATCTGCACCATCAAGATTTAACTTTTTTTCATCACTGAAGATTTTCTTGTCCCATCTCTCAACAATAAGCACATTTTTCAGCAAATTTCAGTCTTTTGATATTGTTTAAGCATACGGGCATTTTTCCGCTTCGTGTACTTTAATTTCTTCAAGTCACGCAATATCTGATTGATGCGTCGTGCTGTCACATCAACTCCAGTGGCCAATTTTGATTAAAGAAGTACGTAGAGGAATCGGCAGTTTTAAAAGCCTCTGAAAACATTCGCCTAAGATCACTGTCGGTTAATTTTGGGGTTGGTTCAGGATGCTTTTTTGATCCGTATCAGGATTAGCAAGAAATGATTGTACGACAGTTTTTGGGCGTTTTATTTCCTTTGCGATGTCGGATGTCCCGTTGGCTTCTACCGCATGTGCAGCGGCCGAAATCCTTTTTAATGTAAAAATATTACGGAAAGATACTAAAATGCATAAATACCTATCTTGGTCTTATAAACCATTCCAACTAGTTTTTTTTTAATTTTCATTTCTTCACATATATTTAAAAATATTGTACGTATAGCGTTAGAATAGTTTTTAAAGCAAGTTTAACCTCGTATAATTAAATTATTTCTTTATGCATTAAAAATATTTAGAAAAAATTGGGTGGTCGTAAAGCCATTGGATTGGGTGGTCGTATAGCCATTTATTGAAAAATAGAAAAAAAAATATTGAAAAATGGAAAAAAATGGGTGGTCGTATAGCCATTTATAGCCGCAACTGTATGAAATTATCGGAATAAAAAATATTTACTGAAATTTGACTTTTTCTGTTTAAGTTAGAAGATTATCAGCGTACAGATGTTCGTACAAAACCGGTCCGGGCGTGAAGAACACTTGTGCTCGTTGCAACGCTGCCGGGGAGAAACTAGAATTTACTCCGCGCGTAAACGTGTCACCTGCAGTGTATCCAAACGAGTTTGTTGAACCGAAAATCATCAAATGTGTATATCCTCACTTCGGGCAGGTTTCTTGCAGTAGATTTTTGTGGAGCATGAATCCTCGAAGTGGAGCATGAATGCGAAGCAATTTCACTCTTTATTTCCGATGGTTCTACTGAACATGAAAATCGGTGTGGCGGAGTCTTGATGCTACCTACGGCTGCCTTGAACTTGAGTTTAGAAATTAATCACTCGAAAGTAGTTTCGTTTTCTGATAATTGTTTGCCGAACGACTCGCATTCAGAGAATTCAGTTTCAAGTCAAGTGTCAATAATATAATTAACAATCAACGCGAAGTGCAGTTAGAAAAAACTGCTTTACGGGAAGGACGATACGCATTGCAACCCTTTATTAGCACCAGCGATTCGATTCGAATAAGAGAAATATTTTGACGAAGGACTCGTATCTAGTGGAAGGCATTTTAAGTTAATTTAAAAACCGGGTATTCCATCATGAACTCCTTTAATACCGCCGGCATAAATATAGGCCTCCCGTTCAGAAAAGCGTCTTCTGAAAATGCCTGCTCATATTAACGAGCGAGGCATGGCGATGCTATTCGTAAAGTAGCACTGTAGCAGTACGTCATTGCATTACTAAAGGCTGCTGTGTATATACAGAACCATCACTTGAGGGCACGCTATGCGTGGCATGGAGATGGTAACATCATAAAGTAGCAGTACATCATTGCATTACTAAAGGCTGCTGTGTATACAGGACCAACACCCAAGGGCACGCTATGCTTGCTGACGCGTTGCGCTACCACGTGGGCCCGCCATTGATGGTGGTGGGGGTCACGGCGGGGGTGCAGGTTCTGGCCGTCGCGGGAGGCAAGAACACCACACGAGGTAAAATATTACAGTGTTATACTTGCTAATTGTTTAGTAATAAAGATTAAGCTTAGAGACAACGATTTTTCATTTTTGATACTTGTTCTTGTCGTAAATTTATATTCGGTGACTTATTATTTTTACGACTAAAAGTACTTGATCCGAGTGCCCTATGATTGGCAATACAAAAATTGATGACTAAATGTTCAGTTGATTAATCGGGTCTACATTCGTTTATTTCCTTAGGCGATACGTTCATGTCGAACAAGCTAGTCAGAAACTTTCCCATCAGTAAGGATTAAAAAGTCCGCATGTGCAGGCTGGAGTTTGCTAGGATCCCTGGAGGCCTGGTGCTACGTTGCGGCGCTGGCGCTCTGGGGGCTGCTTTCTCTCTGGGTTAGTTTTTGTGGCGGGTGAGGTCGTCTTCGTGCAGTGTGTGGCGGGTGAGGTCGTCTTCATGCAGTGTGTGGCGGGTGAGGTCGTCTTCATGCAGTATGTGGCGGGTGAGGTCGTCTTCATGCAGTGTGTGGTTGGGAAAACAGCGCTCCAGGAAGATGATTTTAGCACAGTTAACAGGCAGAGCGATCTTTTTATTCTAAGTTTTACAAGAATGCAGACTATAGAATTTTTGAATAGTTTTCTCGCGTTTTTATTTGAAAGATTTTCTGGAAAAAATGTGATCTCTCTTCGATCGAGGCAATCAGCACGCGTAAAGTATGCACGAACTTTCATACAATAATTGACAACATGCACAAAGTCAATCTGTTCGTGGTAATTTTAACCCTTAGTTACTACGGTCTATCACCTTAGGCTTAGAGGCTTAGACGGTTGTTTTCAAGGATTGTATATATTATACAATCATTCTAATTATTATATTTATATTCCTCATGATACGTCTTACTTTGAGATCTGACACACGTGAGACATGAAATACTTGATGTAAAGTCTAAACTAATATCCTTAAACTAGGTATTGTCTTCAATGTTGGCAGGTACCCAGCAGGGAGTTCAGAGGCCCCATGCCTCAACACGGGCCTGCGCCTCGCTACAGAGCAAACGGCGTCCAGTTTTACTGCGTCTCGGTCATTTTGGCCATTGTTGGACTTATCTACAATCAAGAATTCGCTAGTAGAACTTTCTACATATTCCCAGAGGTGCGATACTCTAAAAAACATAATAGTCTGTTTCATAATGGGTTTCATCTTCAGGATCATGTTCATTTAATGGTAAATCTCTTTCCTTCACAGATTTTGGCAGCGTGCAACGTGACAGCGTTAGTGTTCTGCGTGTACCTCCTGATACGAGGCAAGAAGTGGCCACAGACGACGGAGAAGCTGCCGCCTCGCCCCATTGTGTACGAATTCTACCGCGGCATGGAAATACATCCTCGATTTCTGGGCGTCGATGTGAAGCAGTTTACCGTTTGCCGATTTGGGATGATAGCATGGCAGGTCTTGGTCATTATATTTTTTGTGGCTCAAAACAGGCTGCATGGATTCGATTTTGCCTGCTTTGTTTGTGCCTTTCTGCAATCTGTGTACATAGCAAAATTCTTCTATTGGGAGACCGGATATTTCGACACACTCGATATCATCTACGACCGAGCAGGTTACTACATCTGCTGGGGCTGTCTGGTCTTCGTGCCGGGATTTTACACATTCACGTCATTTTTCTTAGTAGCCCATAAACCGACGGTATCAGTATCCGGAGCATTCGTGTGCTTGATGATGGGGCTGATATCGATAGCTCTTAACTACCGCGTTGACTGGGAAAAGCAGTACTTCAGGCAGAACAAAGGGAAGTGTTTCTTATGGGGTCGTCAAGCCAAGTTCATTAAAGCCACTTACGTGACTCCTGCAAACGAAAAGAGAACCTCCCTGCTTCTGACGTCGGGTTGTTGGGGCCTCGCACGACACCTGAACTACGTCTTCGAGTTACTCCTGACGCTGAGTTGGAGTCTTGTAGGAATCGGCAGAGGTTTAGGCCCATTCCTTTACTTCTTCTTCCTCACCATCTTGCTCGTACATAGGATCTTCAGAGATGAGGAGAAATGCAAGGCCAAGTATGGTCGGTACTGGGATCAATACTGTGAAGCGGTGCCATACAGACTGATACCATTCATTTTTTGATCTAGTCATCAACTATTAGCGCTTGATTACACCTCGAATAAAATACTTGGTTATGGAAATTTTTTTATTACAAGTCCCAATAGAAGGCAATAATCGTTTAAAAATCCAAAAGGGAGTGACTTTTATTTATTCGACTCATAGGGCCTGCCGAATGCTCCTACGCGATATTATATGAATTTGTAAATGAACTAATTTAAAGTAGTTGAGGATAATTTGCTCCTGCTTTTCTGTATTGGGTAAGTTATAATCAACTCGACATTTTCTATTTCTTTAAAAATTAATTGAACCCTCATTGCACAATTTTCAATCAAGGAACACCCACAAATCTTAGATTTAAAATTGAATTTTACCAATAATGTGCGTCAAATGTGATAAAAAGTCGTTGTAGTCAGCACAAGGCTTAGAAGAATTTAGTGTATCGGCACAGGCGATTTCGTTACTGAAACGAATGAAGAAGTAGTGCGTGACCTAAATTATTATTATTTTTTTTTTGTAATTTAAGTGTTGTCGTTAACGTTAAAAATACTCGTTCTGGACAGCAAGTCATAGCGCAATACTCATTTGAAGGCGTCCTCTCAATTTCAAGGAAAGAATAAACAGTGAACATTCAAAGTGATGGCAGACAGTTTTTCGCCTTCAAAAATTAAAATCGCTCCATCCTCTGCTTCGGCTCTGTCTCCTGTTCGTATTCATAACTATATGATTCGTTAAAATTGAGAACAGACAGCATGGAACAATAGCAAAAACTCTATACACTCGTTTGAAGCTGTCAGCAAGCGAAGATGAAACCAGTCCGTGGCCTCATTTCACCACGTGTAAGAAAAAGTAATTTCTCTGAAGCAGCTTCCTCACCGAAAAAGAAACTTGACCAATTGCACTAAAAACAAGTCCTGAGAAGATAAACCGGTCGTGTAGAAAACGTGTCGTGGCGGCGGTCGGCAAGCTGCACCACGGGCGCCGCTACGTTTCCGTCATTGTTGAGAAGAAGCGGTAGAGTGAAGGGAGTGAGCGCTGTTACTGAGTAATGAGCTTATTAAAATTAGCTTTCCAGTCATAAGTAATGTGTGATAGTGATGCATTACAACAAACGCAATAAAGGGTACATTCTCAGAGGAAGTTAGAACAAAAACAGTTTAAATTAGGTTAGCTGCGCCTAATGAGCGAAAGTTAAAGTAGCATTTGAGTATTATATCTCTTGAAATAAATCGGACTTGCACGTTTTGAACCTCGTCTCTTGATCTAATATGAGCCATCACTGTAAATTGTGTTCCGCTAAAACAAGTTCGTGGGTAAACGTGAAAAAATAATCAAAAATATTATTCATATGTACCGAACGATATGATAAATGGATTATTAAAATTAACTTAGTCAAACGAAACAGTCTAGTTGTGCGAGAGTGAAGAAAGGTCATGATCATAGCACGGCTTAAAACACAAAGAACATAAGTAAAATGAAGCAGTGATCAAAGAAAAAAGCGTTGCTTGTATAAAAATGCTGTGAATAATATAATTAAAACATAAATTTTTAGTATCGTGAAATGGCTGCTGAATGATGGTACGATTAAAGCAGTGCAGTAGAGTCGTGTCGCGCTGGTGCCTGGTCTGGCCGCTGCTCCTCTGGTGCGTCGCCGCGGCTACGGGACCAACAGGTGTGGGGGCATAACATACATAACAAACAAAACATTACATACATAACATAACATACTCTTCGTGACTTGTTTACAGGAAATTTAAAAACTGGCTTGTTAACCAGATCTGTTCAAAACTGATGTCGGTACGCAATTGCTATCTATCTATTTATTCGTCCTATAACTAAGGTGACGTCTATGGAAATATTCAATGTGGTAGGAAAGCTCGACGCTTGATTGCAGTTTTGATCGTTGTGGCTCAATCGCGAAAGGACATGTTATTTTGCTATTTCTAAATATGGATAATAATAATTTTGCATATTTGAGAGCAGTATCTAAAATCTTTAATTCTAAACTCTAACTTATCAGAAGAATTTTTTTCTATACGACTATACCTAGTGGTTAAATTTCAGAGTACCAAGATTGGCGCAGAGAGGTGCAGGTTCGATCTCAGCTCTGTGCGCCAGTTTCTGGTCAGAATCGACAAGGAGGCTGGGCGGATAAGCACAGTAGAATTTTCGCAGCAAGTTGCGAGTTTGAGACAGCAAAATGCTGTGAATGTTCTGTGATGTTAAGAATCGGCGACAGGCCTACGGCCTAATAAACGCTGAAACAGCTATTCTATTCTGTGCGATTTTACATAAACACGACACCTCATTGAGTGTAATCAGAGAAATTTTCAATGAAATTCTTTATTCAAACTGAAATCGTGTCTGCATTTACAAATGATTAAAATTACAAGACATGCTGAATTATTCAAATTCTTCATTATCGTATCTTGGCATCTTATCGCAGGTTGCTGCAACGATCTCCTAAATTCACCGGACAGAGACAGACGTCAGGTAAACTCGCGTTTGACCAAGCCTCTGGCAGCAGCCGTTCAAATCGAAGCGCTACCAACACCGCGCCAGTTGTTGAACAACACATCCAACGCTACGCTCGCATCGGTACAGTCACCTATCATCCTACGTACTGTGACGGCCGGCAATTCCAACAACACATCCAGTCTTGTTTTCATCCACTTACCTGACGCGAGCGGTAACCACCCGACACTCCTGCCATCATTAACACAGGGAGCTTCACTCATCTCCAACACCGCGTTCATCAAAAGGCTTAACTTGAGGAATAGAGCTTCGACTACTGCAGCACAAGATGTCGCAAGGGACATTCTACCAGGTGCATTACTCCTTATATTTCAGTTTGCCCAACAACAACGATGATTTATCCATGTTTAGAGAGGCAATTGATAAATTACAACAGAACAATATCATAAAGATTCATGGTTTATTTTTATTTATGAATTAGACGTGTTGTTAAAACTTTAAGAAAAAATCACTCGAAAAATGATAGTTATTCTAAAAACGGAATATCGGGCAGCATGCTGCCGCCACTGCGTGCGGTGCGCGAGTTCGTCGACTTGCATCGCGCACTCGCAGATCTGCGACGGTCGCGCGGACTGCGCGCTGGCGGAGGACGAAGCGCCTTCCTTCTGTCAGGTCAGGTCGTTGAGAAGGAAAGCATCCATGAACGATTCTTGAAAATACAACCACGAAAGAATATGCATCCATAACGATTCGTTGTTTAAGGGTTGTTTATCCTTGCAACGTAAGAATACCTTTATTTTTTACGTTACATTATTGTCAATAGTTCACGCCACGCTAAATTTTAAACCCCGGAATACTGTCAAGAATGCATAAGGAAATTGCTCTTCCCGACCGCGGGTAAAGAATCAATTTAAATATCAAGATTATAATAAAGCTAAATCCAGTTGTTATTAAAGACAATATTCACCAATGAAAATCTTGTACCTGATCCTGTGCTTGCACTTGTCATATATCTAGTCGCTGTATAGTCATCCTACATCTAGTCGCTGTATAGTCATCCTATATCTAGTAGTCCTATATCTAGTCGCTATCATAGTCGTCCCATATCTGGCCGCTATCTAGTCGTCTTATATCTAGTAGACATTTAGTCGCAAAATCTAGACGCTATCTAGTCGCACATACCTAGTCGCCCTAGACCTAGTCGCCCTAGATCTAGTCGCCCTAGATCTAGTCGCTATATCTAGTCGAGTAGTCGTCCAAGCTTTATCTCGTCGCCATATGTAGTTTTTTATAAAAGAACGCCTCCACCCGCCTGCTTGACGATGCTGCTGCTGCAGGTGTTCCTGCAGGGGGCGTGCCCCTCGAACCTGGCGCCCTGCAGAGGGCTGTGCGTGCCCTGGGCCGTCGCCTGCAGCGACCTCTGCGACGTACAGCGGCCGCACTTCGAGGCTTGCTTTGTAATTCTTAACAACCTATTGGTCATGAATATATTGATGGTTATCTCATGTTCATAACAGTCAAATGGTCTTCACTTGTAATTATGGTTTCTACAGTTGATTATGTCAACTTCTCTAATCAGTTGCGGATGATATCATAAAACAAGACAAGTTCAAAAACGGAACATTTTGTATGATTGTACTGTATTACCATTTTTAAGGCCGTGCGGCGACAACAATTGGACATTTCCTTCCTTAATAAAAGCGACTCTGGAAGTCTGGACTTGCAACTGTACGGGGACCCTGCGACGAACGCCTCGACGCCCTTCCTGCGTCCTGCACTTCCGACAGTCCCTCTTCCCTTCACCGTGAACGCACTTCACCCTTCAATTCCGATAAAGACTCTTTCCTTCCCAGCAAACTCCTTGCACCATGCAAATCATTTAAAACCCGCAGCACAGGATGTCAGTGCAGCCAATTTGCATCCAATATTTAATCTCCTACATGACAAGTTTGTCAGAATACCTTCATTCGTTGCTGGTGCGCATCCGAACACAAATTTAGCAACGTATCCCCATGTTATATATAAGTGTTCTCCAACCCTGACAGGACAAGTAGCACCCAGTGTCCTAGAGACTACAGAGTCAAGTCATATTCGTTTTAACACAAAAGACTTACTTAAGTCGGCTAACATGCCGGTGAGAAGCGACAATACATTAGATCGTTTAAAAGTAACTTTGACCGAAATACTCAACAATTTGATGGAGGGGGATAAGTCGATCGGCAGGTCTCATGCAAGTAATTTCGAAACCGGAAAATATCCTTCCATAACGTATCGCTGTGTTCCTTCATCGGGAGATGAAGTCGACTTGAGTTTTCCCGAAAATGTTACGAAAGGCCAGAAAAAATCAGGTTCTTATTTAGCTGCGCTTACTAGTGACTTACTCGCTATCGGTCGTGTTTCAACGCTCAATGCCACACATTCTAATCCAAGCGAATTTAGCTCCAATGCTGTGGATGAAACCAACTCAGTCGGAGGAGCGTCGGCATACGATAAGAAAGCAAGTATCTCCACATACAATGAAATAAAGGCTGATGAAACTGTCGGGAATGCGACACTAAGCGAAGTTATAGTTTCCCGCGTTACTATTCAACCTGGCGATGACGTCACCGCTACGACTTACCGACCTTATCTCTCAGGTGAACTAATAATTACTTCTGAAAAATACTACTTTAGATCGCGGTTAGCATACGTATCAATACTGTAGCAAATATTTGTTTATATTTCCCATAGTTAAACGTATGCATAGTTTTTCTCTAACTGAAGAAAACAGTTCCAAAGCGAAGGTTCATAAAGCTTACAACGGTGTAGCCAGAAAGCTCGTTTTAACTATACATCAATACATGGAATATTTGCCAATAACAAACAGTCTAAAACACTAAAAAAATGTCAACATATATTGAGGTGTTTTCCAACTAAATGTTCCTCTACCCAATCTCATTTAAAATTCTGTCATAATTTAGTACGCCAATGAATACGTCTGACTGATTTTCGGTGCTGCTGATTGCTAATGGAATTTTCCAGACTTGATGAAGTTGCTGCTGAACTCGACTAACTCGAGCGGTGCACCATGCCCTCCTCTCTTCACCCCCGTCGGCAACACCTGTCTGGCCGTCATTCCTTACTTGGTGTGTTATGGCTTATTCCACATACTTTTTATTTTGTTCGGAAGGAACCTATTTCTCATAAACTTTGACGATCATTTAATTCACATAGTTGCGGTTCCTCCTTCATTTACGGACCTCCAACTGTTATTCCACTTTTTCCGTCGTGCTATGATTTTGCCACTGCAACGTCAAATTGTTTTTGCACGCTGATTTGATTCATAATTCTTTTCCCAGACTTTATTTCAAGTGTCTCAGGTGTTTATGAATGTACTTTATCTATGTAGCTAAGCTTTGATAGGCGAATGCCTTGCAACAGTTTGTTTAGTGAAGGCAATTCTTGTTGCTAGGACTATACGTAGATAGGAAAAGCATTGATAACGGTTAAAGTATCGGTTTACGAAGTGTTATTGTCACACCTCTTACTGACATGTCACGACACAGATGACGTGGCAGGAGGCGGGGGGTGTGTGTGAGAGACTGGGAGGGCAGCTGGCAGAGGCCAGGGACGCGAACATTCTGACGGAGATCGCAAAATTCCTCAAGCGCATTGGTGAGATTTTTTTTAATTTGACCGAAAGCTAAAAGGCCTTTAATTAACTAATTAATTATAGCTAATTAATTCAGCTATAGCTAATTAGCTGTAATTAATTATAGCTTAATAAATTTAATGGCTGTAACTAATTAATTAGAGCAAATTCGCCGACGAATTAGAGCTCAATGTCGCTTAGCTCTGTGTCGCTATAGCTCTGTGTTTCTTTTATCGAATTTTGAAATCGGCTTGGACAGTAACTACTCTGTTGAAAAATACAATATTTTTATTTTTTCTGTGTCGAGGGGAGATGGGAAATAATAAGCATATATTGGAAAATCGATATTATATTCATGTGTATTAGTTGAATGGATGCAATTATTGTGAAAACCATGAAAGTAAATCCCTTTTGCCCGGAAGCTGCAGGCAGTTATTTAGAATGAAATTTTGAGTATTTATAACAAAAGGCATTGCATCGAGAAACCTAATTACTAAACTTCTGATTGGAAACGGCATACATCAAGTATATGTTTCTGTCTCGCAGGGATTTCTGCCGACTTTTGGATAGGAGGATTTTTTGACGACGTTGCGGACGCTTGGATGTGGCGGAGCGGCAGCAAGATGATCATGTCGACGCCATTTTGGGGGTACAAGTGAGCACAGTCTGTACACAACAAGGAATTATGAGGGTACAAGTGAACAGTCTGTACACAACAAGGAATTATGAGGGTACAAGTGAACAGTCTGTACACAACTAGGAATTATGAGGGTACAAGTGATGAATCTATCACTTGTACCATGTAGTGATGTCCATCATCGTCTCTCCGTAAAAAATATATATATCGCAAACGACCGGAAACCTGACAGCTATATAGGCCAAAGATCGTCTTCTAATTCATTCGTCTCATTAATATTCCATCTTCAGTCAGTGAACGTTAATTAGAGGACAAAAGATATAATAACCATTTGGAATTTTAATTATACGTTATCATGATGGCACCTGACCTGGATGTTAAAACAACCTGAAGTTTAAACGTGTTAATTATTCATTTTGAACACGATCATTAACTCTAGTGTATCTTATTATGGTATAGATACTATCGGCTGTACAACGCTAATGAATAATCACAGGTTACTTATTATTGCTCCTAAATTTAATTTAATTCGGTGGTGTAGCAATTTTGTCCGAACAGGCTCAATTAGTTATTCTATCATCTATTAATGTCTTTAATCTTGGTTTAATTTCGTCTGAAGGTACAGAAGTGAGTGCAATGGGACGGCCGGCCACGGCTACAGTCCAGCGCGTTACAATCCGTCCTGCAGTCACGCCCAGCAAGCTCCCCACAACAGCACCAGGGGCTTCTGTGCCTCACTAGACACCCAGTTCTTCTATTTCATTACCGACCATCCGTGTGAACACGGCCGCAAGGCCTTGTGCTCACATGAGCGCGTGTGGTGATGCTGGTGGAGCCACATGAGCGCGTGTGGTGATGCTGGTGGAGCCACATGAGCGCGTGTGGTGATGCTGGTGGAGCCACATGAGCGCGGGTGGTTAATACTATTTTCCAGTATTTTTTATTTAAGCACGAACTATAAGCGGAAATAGCAATTAATGTGATTTCTAAGTGACCACCAAATGATGTAAATGATCAGCCATTGTCGTGGGGCAAGAAAGAGTGAATACGAGCGCAGACTTCGACTAGACGAGTGAATTTTCAGAGCTTGGTAAATATCATCGTATAACTAAGTAATATTACAATTAGTAAAATATCTCGTACTGGAAACAGCTTGGGCATTCTGAACCAAGCTGAGAATAATTTGAATGTGTTTAAAAGCTATCTAATTTGCTAATACCTTCGTTTCATCAATGACATCGGCAGATATAATGTTAAAATGTGTAAATTATTTCCTAAGTGAATTATAAAATAAAAATAAATTGCAATTTTTGAAAGAACGAAAAATTAATCGGAGAATCTTTTTGTGATTATAGTTACCAGATTTGAAGGTGAAAAAATATTTGTTCAGTAATGATATAAGGTAATATTGATTCACTTTATCCTTGGCTTAGTGAGGCTGGCAGCGGCAGTATGAAGAAAATTTTATGTCATAATCAAGAGAGGATTTTTCAGTGAAATGTTTCAATTTTACCGCGATCAATATCATTAGAGATGATTTTATTACATTTCTTGATAGCTTGAATTTATTGAATAGTTTTATTCAGTAAAATGTGGCAAACTCGATGATGAGTCTCACAGCGCCTATGTCGAGTTATTATTACGAATAAATCCATTCTTCACTAACTCGGTTGATCAAGTATCTGGGAGCTAACATTGTTCAACAGTAGGCATTTGATAATTCTGAGTTTGAAGACTTCTATTATGCTAAGGCTCGTCCGTAAGACAATTTTTCGTAATTTAACTCGAATTACTCATATTTGAATTAAAAATTCAAATTATATAAAATTAAATATTCAAATCATATACGACAAACGTGCCGGCACTAATTATATTAGCAGTCTTAACTCCTCACAGTAAATGGGCGATTGAGATCATTCACTAGGTCATACTAGACCGCATATGTACAAATACTCGGTGATGTTTTTAGGATATATTAATGTAGGTCTCACGAAATTTCTCGTGAAGTACAATCCATATATATATAAACAATTCGTTTTTAATTCACTTTATTTTCGGTCTTACCGTTGTGCTGTTTAGCCTCGGACTGACCTCCTGGACAAAAACGCGGCCTGTCTCACGGCCGGTCTCACGGCCGTGACCCAAGAAATTCATCGTACATCGGTACATGGAATATCTTCCAAACTACTGAACCAATTGCCTTAACAAATAAATGAGATAACTGAGGCAATTTTGAAAAAGATGTATAAAATTCGTTCATTTAGAGTTTACTAATGACAATTTTTCTCATTGCCTCTCATTGAGCGCGAACATTTGTACATTAAATGTGGGTATATAATATTTATATAGTTAGCTAACGTATTTATTTTCTACGTAAAAGCTTATTATGTGAACACCTTATCGAAAATATTTTGTCCGCCGTATGGTCATTGATCTGATGTGCTTTTTAATCTTCAAAAATAAAGCTGCAATACCACTATACAAGTCATCAAATGAGCATGATTTAAGGTCGATAGTTCAGAATGTACAAATCAAATCAAGGAATATTTTTCGTGTCCTTTTTTTCATAATATCTTGAAACATGCCAGTCAATAAGAATGTCCTCGTTACTCAATTATTATTTGAGTTTTTATCATACAGTGTATCTCCGGTATACTCTTATCCATTTGTACCACTAAATCATTCAGTGAACGTTATCAGTAGTGCGCATGCGTGAACAAAGCACAGCGTTAGCCCACACAATTTCCAGTGAAAATTTGATGCAAGAAGGTAAGACAACCGTTTAATAATATATCTCCTCAATTGAATTTTGTTTGCAAATCCTTCAATTATTCACAGAATTTCTTTCGTTCCTTACTTATTGCTTTTTCACTCCATAAACCATCATGTTGGCATTCCTGCTGCTGTCTTGGTCACGTGACCTTATTGCGAGCGCATTTCCTTAGATGAATACACGAAATGTCTGCATTGACTTATACATGCAATTTTGTTAATAGAACTAATATTTTACTTTTTATAATATGTCAGTAACCTAACTTTTTTTTCCAGAGCGTCAGGTGCAAAATTGCTACCTCTTTGTTTTTGTAAATCCTAGTACTGCCGGCATGTGAGCTTTTAGCCCGTCAATGGCGTCATATTTGTGACATGTAGAGGAATGAAAACACTCCAAAACTTCTTATTTCTTGCTTTAAATTACTTTTCAATACATGTTATGCACTTGACGTTACGGAATAATTAACTGAAGTGTAATTTTTTAGTTAGTATAATTTTTTCTGTTTTCTATTCAGTATTCAATATTCATAGCTACTTAGCTAGCCTAAACGGCTAAGCCCTAATCATGAATCGTGATTAATGATCTCAAGTTCAACTTCTCAACTCTCAAGAACTATTATTTACTAAAATAAATGATATATTGTTATCAATTGTAATTAAATGGTAAATGATTTTATCAGCCAGTATATCTAGTAGCCAGGCTGGAATTCTAAAATTCATGGTTCACATAAAAAAAACCGTTCTGCCTTAAAAAAAACGTTCCAGGCAACTAGAAACAGGTTTGCAGGCCATCAGAAATCGGCTTCGGTTACGGTAGCTATGATCGTATGAACGTCAAGTCAGGCAACACAGAGAAGGTCCCATGCAAGATTGTTAATTGCGTGCGTTACTCACAGTCTCACAGATGAGCAAGAGGGATGGATCTACAGAAGGAAATACTATTTACTCGCAACATAATAGTTTCGAATTAAATATAAAAAAACANGACTGAAAGTGGAAGTGTGCTGGACGTTCCAGATTTTTGGGTCCTGCTTTTCAATTTGCTATGTTTACCAGTTAATATATTACCCCTCTGGATTTCCACACTGCTAGTAGCAGGTTATGTTCCAGTAATGTTGGTTCTATTATAAGATGGTCTCTGATTGAGGCAGCAAGTCACTTGGACCACGGCCAGGGCTGGCAAAGTCCTATTTTTGTCTGAAATATCGCAGCTCTAATATCATATAATTTCAATAGGTATGAAATCTCGCGGCTCGAATGTCACAAATTTTTGTTTGATTGAAAAATCGCAGTTTGCACTTTGGAGTTTGGAAACGTGTCATTTCATAAAATTTTCAACTTCCGCAATCCACATTGCTTTACCGTTCCAGGCACTTCCAGCCAAAATATCCTGCAGAAAAAACATAAACATCGTAATGTAAATAAATCAACTACCTAAACGTTTTATTGAAGATAGCGCATAGTTGTGGTCATGTCAAAGCGGTCACACTGCCATTAACACGTGCTCAACTTACAGTAAAGACAACTTTTATTGTTGCCGTTTGACTGTTTTAGGGTATAATTAGAGATTTGGGGTAACACGTGCATGGAGTTTGTAAATAAATTCACGCCTCGTAAATGGCTTTTCATGGCCAAGATATGGAATTCATGGCTCAGTGAAATGGAATCACGGCTTGAAGAAATGTAATCATGTCTGGCAAATCCATAAAGCCATGGCTCAAAAATTCAGTCGCGGCTCGCCAAGTAGATATATTCCATGCCTGACTTGGGCCCCGATTGGCAATTTAAGGTAATGATCAGGAGTACTGCTTTTCAAAATTCTCATGGAATTACACCAAACCGCCATTGCACGGATTTTGTAAGAGATCGTGAACATTCTCACGGAATTGCTATGTTTTCACGATTCATCATTTAAATGACTAACATCTCAATTTTGTCTAAAAAAAGAGAACTCATTACGTTGCCTTAATCCTTGACTTTGAGCATAGAAAATAAACACCTAAATTGTTTTAGTGTACTGAATTACTGCATCCATCGCACCTTCTTCAACTCCACAGTGCGCGCTAACAGTTCTGTCTCCTACAATGCGGACGTGAGCAGCTACCATAAAATGGGGTAACTTTGACCACTTTTTTTCAAAATGATGCCATTTTTTTACTAGATAAGTTAAACTTAAATTGAAACATGCAAAATACAGGTCTATACTCCGAGTACCCCCTCCAATTTCCTTATTTTTTGGTAAAATAACTCCAGGTTTTGATGCATTGTAGTAGAACTTGTACCAAAAACATTTAATTTATTGGAACCTAATACACACTAAAGGCAACAAGTTTATATACCAATTTGTCATTCATAGTACATTTATACTAAACCATGAATAACAATAACTCAATATAAATTAAAGACTGCCACTTAATATATTTAAATATATGAAAAAATCGAAAAAATCAAAAATATCATGATTTTTTTATAAAAAAATCAAGTGATTTAATCACATGATTTAATCATTGCCAACCCTGCTCACGCACATTTGTCGACTCGAATATGTTCTAAAATTGATGGAAATATTAGTGAAACACTTTAATTCGTTATCAATCACCCATAGAAGTGCTCGAAATGGGCGGAATTTGTTGTCATTTTCATAACAGTGTGCGAAGGAACGCAAAAGATAAAAAATAAATAAATATAAGGCTACACATTTGCTCGCGTAGCAATTCCACCTTGGAAGCGTGTACATGCAGCGTGCAATGATTTATTAAAGCAGCAGTAATACTAAGCAAAATAGATATATTAATACTAAATTTTTGTGCCCCATTGATTCAATCTAGACATATCTCTGGTACGTCATGGATGAAGTGATTCATTATTAAACAAAAAAAATTTGATGCGGCATTTAATGATGTCTACACAAGTGAATTTCTTGCCAAAAATAGATGCCTTGAGTATTAGCCATCTTGTTAAGAAAAAATAGATAACTAGTTGAAACATTTGCATGTAAGACTGTAGTTTGCATGTAAAGACTCCAATAAAATGATTGAAATTATAATAAATTTATTGTCAATGACACAGCCACTGAGCCACATCAGTCACTGTTAAGCAGTTACAGCACCTGACTCGCTGCTTGTCAATATAAGCTATTAAATATTGGTCCGGACTACGATTTGTAGGGTTCGATTGCCACACAATAACTAAAATGCTTTTTCTATCATGCCAGAAAATTTTGGCTTAGTTTTGTTAACAAAATAGATCGTAACTTAATACTTACGAAGGCCGGAGACAAAATGTGTTGTTGCCTGTAACGAAGTTAGTGCCATTGAGAGTATGAAGATTGATTGGGAAATCTCATTCAACGTTTTAAGAGATCGTTTTATACAAGCAAATATTTGCGTTTCTCGTGGTTAATGCAAGAAAACTGAGATATAATACACTGTGCAGAATACTGAAAACTAAGAAATTCATACTGAAGAAGATGGATTAGTCCTTGGTTTTTATGAAGCAATGTTCGAAAATTTAAATAAACTTTGGAAGACGCCGCCAGCCGACACATGTCACGGTGTCAGCGCAGTAATGAGGAATGTTCTATGTCTGACTTGAGTTGAGAGCCTCACCAAAGTTCCCACTCATATTTACTATAGAAAAATACATTATATCAATCATACATTATTTAGTTGTAAAGGAATGAAAACCAGTTCAACTAACCATTGGTTACGGTGTTCGAACAATTCTAAGATGTGTTATATCATTAAGACAACCCCACAACAGTAATAGAGTACACTGCACACCCACACATTAGCAAGTCAGGATGTCAACTGCAAGCACAATGTTGCTGACTTGCTTAGTTGTCTCATTAGTCTCGTACTTGGTGTTGGTGAGCTGAAAGGCGGTATTCTTACATCGCGTTCACTATTGCGTTCATGTCATATTTGCTTCTCGAGCAAACAGCAATACAACGGTCGAGTGGTTTGATGAACTTGAACGTTGCTCCTGGTCCAGTAGCTTCTGTTCAATCTCGTGTCTGGCTTACGCATTTTCTGGCTTCGAACTTTGTGCGGATTTCACTTTTCTGATTGCGCTGCGGAATTCGATTTGAATTTATTATCAATTTTGTGCATTCTGTGGAATTAGTGCCAATTTTTCGCAGCCTAAGCCCCCTGCAGAATTCATTAACAGGTGTACTAGTCCATCTGAAGTCACGTTTTTTCCACTTAGGACTTGGGCCATGGTCAGGACTCAGGAAGATGTGCCAGGTGCATGGGAATTTAACCCTTTAGCGGGCAAGAATTGAAATATCCAGGAATTAAAATTTCGGAAACCATTTCAAGAAAGTTTATATATTTATTATTTATACAAACAACAAAATATTTATTTATATGAATTTTTGCAAATTTTGCCTATTGAAGGTTTAAATCGCACAGAATTCAATAATTGCAATCAGTACACAAAATTTTTCTTTGTAATTAAAATTTAGTTTATGCAAATGAAAAATTAGAAACATAAAAATTTAATTTAATTAGATTTAATCAAGTTGCCAAAATAAATAAATATATATATATATTGATACTTCCACCTTTTGAAGAAAATGCAGAAAGAGCGTCAATTCCATTGTCCGAGTCAAAACCTTCATTTAAATGCTCATATTTCAATTTGTGGACTTTGCAGCTGATGATGCTATAGATAGAACGATGGTCAGATAATTAGTGATTGACTGAGGCATTATAAGGATGCCTCAAAAACAAACAGGAAGCCGTGGTGAAGCTTTTTGTGACGCGTTTTCAAGTGATCATATATGGTAACTTACCCGTGAAAGGGTTAAATTCTTTTAACAAACCTGTGTGCTGCGCCGTACTATGCTGGTAAAAAAAATTGATGTGTGCCATACTCCAACTAGGCTAAAATAGTTTAAATATGGACGCGCAACAACGCTATCTGTCAATCACACACCGTACACACAAACGTATATCTGCATTGTGCTGCGGTTGGATATGAAGTTTCTTTCA